TTTTTTTTTTTTTTTGTACTTACTTAGGGCTGATTTGTGTCCAGTATATGGTCTCTTCTGGAAAACGTTCCATGTGCACTGGAGAAGAATGTGCATTCTGCTTTTGGATGAAATGTTCTGAATATATCCGTTAAGTCCATCTATTCCACTGTGTCATTCAAAGCCACACTGTGTCATTTTTCCTTGTTGATTTTCTGTTTTGATGATCTGTCCATTGTTGTAACTGGGGTGTTAAAGTCCCCTACTATTATGGTATTATTATCAATGAGTTTCTTTAAGTTTCTGATTAATTGAGTTATATATTTGGGTGCTTTCACATTTGGAGCATACATGTTTACAATTGTTAGGTCTTCTTGGTGGATAGTTCCCTTAATTATGATAAAATGCCCTTCTTCATCTCTTGCTACAGTCTTTATTTTAAAGTCTAGATTGTCTGATGTAAGTATGGCTACTCAGGCTTTCTTTTGTCAACCATTAGCATGATAGTTGGTTCTCCATCCCCTTGCTTTCAATATGAAGGTCACTTTAGGTCTAAAGTAGGTCTCTTGTAAACAGCATATAGATGGGTCTTGTTTTATTATACATTCTGTTACCCTTTGTCTTCTGATTGGAGCATTGAGTCCACTGACGTTTAGAGTGAGTACTGAAAGATATGAATTTATTGCCATTATGATACTTGTAGAGTTGGAGTTTCTGGTGGTGTTCTCTGGTCCTTCCTAATCTTTGTTGCTTTTGGTATATATATATATATTTTTTTTTTCATCTTTTCTCCCCTCTGAGAGTCCCCCTTAAAATTTCTTGCAGGGCTGGGTTAGTGGTCACAAACTCCCTTAAGTTTTGTTTGTCTGGGAACCTTTTAATCTCTCCTTATATTTTGAATGACAGCCTTGCTGGAGAGAGAATTATTGGCTGCATATTTTTCTGATTTATCACATTGAATATATCCTGCCACTCCTTTCTGGCCTGCCAAGTTTCTGTGGTTAGGTCTGCTGCAAACCTGATCTGTCTTCCCTTGTAGGTTAAGGACTTTTTTCCCCCTGCTGCTTTCATGATTCTTTCCTTGACTGAGTATTTTGTGAATTTGACTATGATATGCCTTGTTGATGGTCGGTTTTTCTTGAATCTAAGGGAAGTCCTCTGTGCTTCCTGGATTTTGATGTTTGTGTCTTTCCCCAGGTTAGGAAAGTTTTCTGCTCTGATTTGCTCACATAACCCTTCTACCCCTTTTTCTCTCTCTTCATCTTCTGGGACCCCTATGATTCTGATGTTGTTCCTTTTTAATGGGTCACTGATTTCTCTAATTCTTAAAACATGCTCTTTTGCCTTAGTTTCCCTCTTTTTTTCTGCTTCATTATTCTCCATAAGTTTGTCTTCTATATCGCTTATTCGCTGCTCTGCCTCATCCATCCTTGATGCTGTGGCATCCATCTGAGATTGCAGCTCAGTTATAGCATTTTGTATTTCATCCTGACTAGCTTTTACTTCTTTTATGTCTGCAGAAAGGGATTCTAATCTATTTTCAACCCCAGCTCTTATTCTTATTATCATGATTCTAAATTCTGGTTCAGACATCTTGCTTGTATCCGTGTTATTAAGTCCCTGGCTGTCATTTATTCCTGCCCTTGTTTTGGGGGTGAATTCCTTCATTTTTTCATTTTGAAGGAAGAGAAGGAATTAATAAGGTAAAGAAAGTTAAAATTAAAAAATTAAAACAACAAACACAAAAATATCAAATAAAGAATGCTAGATTTTAGGTGTGTTTTGTTCTGGGTTTGAAAGGAGCTTGATAGATGGGAGATAAAAGGAAAAAGAAAAAAAAGGAAAAGGTTTGAAAATTTGACAAAATGAATACACTAAAATAGAATAAAATGAAATAATGTAGGTAAAATAGAATTTGAAAAATTTACAAAAAAGTAAAAAAAAATAGTAGAAAAAATTAAAGAAAAGTATTTTTAGGAAAAATTGAAAATAAAAATAAACTTTTCTCTTTTTGTATTCAAGGAAAAGAAAAGAAATGAAAAGGGGAAAAAAAGGAAAATTAAATGGATAGAACAGCGAACAGACTGAAATACGATTGAAATTACATGGTTTTCCCATTGAAGTCAAACTATGAAGCACTTTATAATCTGTAAACTAAGCAGGCAGAGAGACGTAGTGTTCCTGAAGAGTGAGGTTGGCCCAGTGGATGGGGCTTAGTATAATGTCTCTGTTCTCCACTAGATGGTGCTGCTTAGCTTATTGGGGTGGATATTTGTGGCGCAAGTAGGTGTGTATGTGCATGCACAGGAAGGGTGAAAATGGGATCACCTAGCTACCCAATCTCTGGTATCGGAACTCTGTTCTCCCTGATCAGCAATTACACACCCATCCTTTGTCTCTGGCTCCTGTCCACTCCCCGCTCTTATACTGTCCGAGACCAAGCCCTCAGGTTGCCAGGCAGCACCTTCCTCCTGACTTTTATCCCAGATGCAGCTCTTTTTCCCAACCCCTCACTTCTGAGGGACTGCAGCTTTGACCTGTTCTGACCCTCTGCACAAAGGTCTCACTGAGCAATGGCTGGGTCCTGCCACACCCAGGAACATTCACGGGCCCATGCTGCTGCCAATGCCCAGAGACTGCAGCTGGGTGCCAGCCCTCTCCAGAAGAAGTTCACATGATTGTGTAGAAGCAGCATTTCAGGGATTATGGAAAATCACAATACATATCTGGCACCAGGCTTCCCCACTAACTTCCTTGTTCTAGTACCAGCAAATGTGGTTGTTCTCCCAGTCTGCTGTGATGTTTGCCTGTGGGGTGGCCACACAACCTCTACCAAATGTCCTCCCAGCAGTGAACCACCTCTCCCAATGTGTCCCAAGGACCCCTAGTCTTCACTCTGCTCCTGGGGATTCGCCCTTCCTACCAGAGCACTTCCAGGTGTCAAGCTGTGGAGTTTCAGACTCTGCAGTCTCCCTGTTGATAGAGTCTTAATGGAATTTAAACCCTCTCCCTTCTTCTTTCTCCCTTTTAGTTCAGTCCCTGCGGCTGTTTCCACTTTTCCACTCTCTCTCCAGCTGCTTTTGGAGGGGGAGTGTTTTTCCCATACTCTCCCTCTGTCTCTGTCCTCTCAAAACAGCTCTCTGTCCTCTGTGACTTCTCTCTCCCCCAGTTCACCTCTCCACACTGCATATCTGCTGAGTTCTGTGGTTCAGGTTGTGCAGATTGTTGTGTTAATCCTCAAATCAGTTTTCTAGGTTTGCAGGATGGTTTAGTGTTGTCTGGCTGTATTTTATGGACACAAGATGCAAAAAACACCTTCCATGCTGTTATGCCATCTTCTAGATCTTGGTTCTTTTTAAATGTAGACATTTATAGCGATAAATTTCTTCCTGGTCACTGCTTTTGCTACATCCAAGAGTTGGTATTTCATGTCTTTATTTTTATCAGTCTCCAAGTAATCCTTTTTTTTTAATTAAAAAAATTAATGTTTATTTATTTATTTTTGAGAGACATAGAGACAGAATGCAAGTGGGGGAAGGGCAGAGAGAGAGGGAGACACAGAATCCAAAGCAGGTTCCAGGCTCTGAGCTGTCAGCACAGAGCCTGATGCTGGTTCAAACTCATTAACTATGAGATCATGACCTGAACTGAAGCCAACACTTAAACTACTGAGCCACCCAGGCACCCCCTCCAAGTAATTCTTAATTGCCTTTTTGATTTCTTCTTTGAACCATTGGTTATATAAGAGTGTAATGTTTAATTTCCACATATTTGTGAGTTTCCCAATGTTGTTTATGTTCTCAATTTCTAATTTTATTTCATTGTGGTTGAAGGGCATACTGTGTATTATTTGCATCCTGACAACAGTTTCTTAAACATCATGATTAATTATGAGACTGATGTGCTGCCTACTGCACTAAGGAGGCAGGTACATCATGATTAATTAAAGTAGCATATTATGGTCTGGTTTATACAAAGAGGTTCTAGTCTAAAAATAAAAGCTAAGATATCCAGGGATGTAATTCTGTTGCTTTGGTCACTCCAAACCGGTGGAAGTAGACACTGATCTCACTGCTGTAGTGGTGGTCCTCATGTGTGACTTGCCCTGGCTCAGCCATTGGTTTGAAATTTCCAATAAAGGCCATAAGGGAATGACTCCTGGTTTCAATGACTCCTGGTGTCTTTTACTCCTCTGATTAGAAGAGCAAATTATAATTGTTCCAGGTAAATTTTGCATTTTCACTGTGCTTTCCATTGTTCTTTTTCCTTACAGTACTCTTCCCATTCCTTACCCCAATTTTTGAACTATTAAATATCTGGATGTTTCCAAAAAAAGTTACTGATTTTTTCACAAAATCTGTAAAAAGGATGAAGGAAAGTCGCCTCAAAGATAAACAAAAGGTAAATCCAGTGTTGGTTACATGTGGATGTTCACTTTTGATCTTTTATTGATTTGTGTACATCTCATGTGTGTACTTCTATGTATGTTTTTATGGTAGGTAGAGCACTGTAGGGTTTAGAGCAGGAGAGTTCTAACATTTTAGAGAGAATTAAAAAGGTTGAAGTTAAGGAAGGAGATAAGAAAATGAGTCAGAGAAAGAATGTTTAAAATTGAATAATAAGCATGGCAACTAGTATGTCACTGCACAAAATTTGGTGAGAGAAAAACTACCACTTCACTTCAATAAATTGTCAAAGCATAAAAATTACTGTGTAAAAATAATTTTCTGTATTGTAATTTTTCCAGATCTTACATTGGCAAAGAATGCCTTCAATTCTAAGCCTCTTGTTTTACACATTCTCTAGTGGAATGTCCTGTTAGGCACTTGGTGGAGTATAGTCTGTGTTAAACTTGAGCTTGCCATTGTCTGGAGTGGGCAGGAGTCTTCTCTGAGCACTAAGGCTGCAAGATGGCTAAGCCAGTTTTGCCTCATGAGGCCTGGTGGCCAGAAAAGAATGTGTGCTGCACAGGGAGACAGGGCTGGGTACCCCAGGATGTCACTGAAGATTGTGCAGAGTTCTGAGAGGGTGGGGCACTGGAAGATGCTGACACACAGCTGCTCATTGGCACTGCAGGGGTCAGGGGATTGATCTTTGTGACCATTCATTAAGAATTAAGGCCAGAGTTAAAAAGGACTGGAATCATGGACTTTCTCTTGAGCAAGCAGGCATGGCAAGAGAGGGAGCAGGCAACTCTTTGGCCAGGAAGCTGTAGTCAAAAGCCAGAAAAGCTGACGGCAAGAACCAAAAAGCAGTGAGACACAGTAGCTGGATTCCTGTCAGGGAAGCATCCTGTTCTCCAAGTTTGTACCTGGATGTTTTTGTTTAGTGATGACTCTGACAAAACTAGTGAGACCTTTGTGCATAAAGGGGCCATATTCTCAGGAAAGAAGTTAAGTCCTGAACCCCTGACTTAATTCTGACTTCACAAGTGACTTTTTGTCATTGAAACTTCTCTTTCTGCTTCCAGCACCGAGTGGATTTGCTTCAGCTGATGATTAACTCCCAGAATTCCAAAGAAACAGACACCCATAAAGGTAAGCAAGGAGAGTTTCAGAGAACCAGTGATGGGAGACTCAGAGGCAGGGGTGGTTCTGAGATGTGCAGGAAGGTTCTTAGCAAGTGGAGTTCTGCAAATTGAAGAACAACACATATTTAGATAGAAACGGAGCAGAAGCACTGTTTTCAGAAGCCCACAGCCTCAGGTTTGTTCAGAGCCTGTTGGCAATGATAGACTAAGCAGTCAGTTGTCTGCCACAGGGGAGCTTGTTTCTAATGTGAATCCTGTGGCTTACTCCAGACCCACTGAATCAGAACCTCTGTCTGGAAATTCACATCAAGGCTTCATCACACCAGGAGGCACATGGCCCCATTGTTGGTGACCTTCACTTGGGACACCTGGTTAAAGTTGTGTTCACTGGCATAATATACTCGTAAAGTTTTATTTTTCCCCTCAAAATTAATAAATAACTGGTGCAGGAAGCCTTTGCAACTGTGTAAATACTGTGGGTTTTTTTTTTTTTTTGAAGTTTAACTTAGTACCTATCTTGTCCATGGATGGCATTTGACTGAAACCATTAATACCATGATGGTTTCAGGATGGTTAATTTCTAAATACATCCTTTCTTCTATATTTATGAGTTAATGTTCCATTGTTAGGGAGCTATTAATCTCTCATGAATTAATTTATTTATATATGTCAGTATGATCTCATATATAACTAAATCTCTTACATCATTTTTATTTAGATCCTCAATTCTCTCACATTTGTCATCTGGAAGGCCTTTCAAGTGGGCTTCTGTGTATTATTTTTATTCTTTCTTCTTTTTAAGGCTTTCAGTAGAGTTTATTTTTTATAGCAGTTTTAGGTTCACTAAAATTGAGTGAAAAACAGAGATTTCCCATATTCCTGTGCTCTACCTACAGTCAGCCTCCCACATTATCAAAATCCCTCACAATGTGGTGTGTGTGTGTATATTATTTATTGTGTGTATATATTTATTACAATCAATGTCCCTACAATGACACATTATTGCCACCCCAAATCCTTGGTTTACATTACAGTTCACTCTTGGTGTTGTCCATTCTATAGGTTTTAACAAATGTATAATGATGTCTATTCACCTTTACAGTATTCTGTATCCTTTTCCCATATCATTTTCTGAGAATTTCCTTGCATTCTGGTGTGAGACATTCCAAGTTTATGTTTTGTTTCCCCTGATGAGTGTTGGAATTAGCCATTTCTCCATGAATCTGTTTCCTATTAGTGAGAAATGGTATTTAGAAATGCAAGTCTGGGATATAGGAGTGTTCATTGCTACTAGGGTTTCTTTGCTTCTATTTTCTCTCAGAAGACCAAGATAAGAACATGAAATATATTTATACAGGAGTGTTAAATGTAAGTATGTCTATATCTATCCATAACCATTAATGTAATTATGTTCTATATATCTGAAAGAAAAAAGGAGTCTTGATTTGTAGTTGTTTCTATGACAGAAATATTCCCATTGTGTTTAATTTCAAGCTATCTCTGGTTTGACAAAAATCTCACAAAATTCTTGAATATTTAGCCATAGATTTTGGAGAAAAAGGATGGTTTATTCCATCATACCACAAAAAAAATATATCCTATATCTATATCTACCATCTATCTATCATCTATCTAATATGTGTGTGTGTGTGTGTGTGTGTGTGTGTGTGTGTGTGTGTGTATTCTGTCTATCTATCTAGTCCTACTGCTTTCTGTGATGAAGGAAATATTCTATATATTCCCAGTTCAGTACAGAACTACTATACACATGTGGTTATTGAGAACTTGACATGTGGCTAGAGTCACTGAAGAACTGAATTTTATATTGTATTTAATTTAGTCAATTAAGATTTAAGTATAAATAGTCACATCTGGCAAGTAGCTACTGTATTTGAAAGCACAACTCTAAACTTTGATTATCATGAGGTTCATGGTAATTGAGGGGAAGAATTTGATAGTTGAATTTATCCACAGTAGCATCATAGAAAGTATGACTGGGAAATCAGAACTCTGTAGAACTTTCTTATACTCGTTTTGTATTGCTCTTAGTTGTGAGTTATCTATTTGTGGCAGGTACCATGTTAATTTCAGTTCTCTAAGTATCTAATGGTCTTAACACAGTGCTGATCAAAGAAATTAAAGACTGACCATGCTGAGTTTCTGCCAGGAGAAAATCAAAAGGGAGGCCAACATATATTCAGAGTGGGACCATTTTCTCAGGAAGGTTACAATCAGGCCATGAGTGAATAAGCATTGCTAATTCCACTTACTGGATTCTGTTTATATTTCATGCTAGCCATTGTCCTTCTATCGATCATTGTTTCTCTTGCTGTTTTAATGTGGTTGATTAGGCTAGCATCAGACACTACCCTTCTAGCTTTTTGTCTGTGTTGTAGTTTCTGTATATATCTGAGATCATCCACTTGAAGAATGTACCCCAGGTCTTCTATTAGCTGAGACCTCTCAAAGTTGTAATCCAGGCTTCTCAAACTAGGTTGTGTGCAAAACTCCCCACATCTTGTGAAGCTCAAATGTTGATTTGACAGTTCTAGGGTGAGGTTTGAGATTCTATATTTATAATAAGCTCCCAGATGCTGCAACTGCTGCTGGTCCATGGACCACACTTTGAGTAGCAAGTTTATCCGTAGCCCAACATTGTTCTCTTAAGTCTTCACTAGTATGTTAAGATGAAAGATCATTTAATTTTCCTGACTAGCCTTAGCATTGCAAACTCTCCCCAAAAAATTTATGCTGTATTTTACCTGGAAGAATTTAAATTTTCATGGGGAGCACTGCTATCTCATGTTACTTATGGCTGAAGTACTTTTATGATTCTCCAGTGAACAAACTGATAACACTGTGTACATTAGACAAAAATGTCATCTTATGAAACTACCCACCTGTGGTCGTGGGGAAGGTGGCATAACCAGAAACAGAAAGCTAATAATAGTATATACCTTGGGAATAAACAGACCACGATAACTTATGGCTCTTTCTGGCTCTGGAAGATAGACATTAGAGTGGAAACCCTTCAGAGTTTGATTTCAAATTGCTTTTATATTTTACTCCTGAGGGATTTGAGAGTTTCAGATGGATTTCTCATCATCTACTATGATGTTTTACATTTGCCTGGTGTAGCTAAAATGCATTTCCTCTCCTTTTAGCTCTGTCTGATCTAGAGCTTGTGGCCCAATCTATTATGTTTATTTTTGCTGGCTATGAGACCACAAGCACTTCTCTTTCCTTCCTTGTGTATGAATTGGCCACTCACCCTGATGTCCAGCAGAAACTGCAGGAGGAGATTGATGCGACTTTCCCCGATAAGGTGAGCGGGTCATACCTGCAAAGGGAATAAGGATGGGCTTGGATATGCCTCAGTAACAGATTAGCCCTCTAATCTAGTGGGTTTTCATAGCAAAGGTTCACTTCTAACTCACATCCCCATATCCAACATAGGTCTTATTAGAGGATGGGAGTGAGTCTCTGCTCCATATAGGTACTTGGGAATACAGGGCCTCGAGGCTCCACTTTTAATACCTGTATTAGTTGGAACTTCATGTTGGCTGTGGAACAAGAACTGGAGTTGTATACCTGCTTTTCAAATGTTTGGCCCTGAACTGACCTACATCTCCTCAGTTCACAGTCCATTTGCAAGTTGTTTCCCATAGGTTCACGTAGGCTAGGAAATATGGGGGTCTACATGGATATTGGATAAGTAGTGAGTGTCTCTACTACACGCCCTAAGAAGTGTCATCTCAAATTATCTCCATGTCACAAGGCAGGAAACTTAGCTATGGAGAGACAACATAACTCTTACAGTATCACTAGTGTTAAAGAAGGCAGGCTAGGAGCCAGGGT